ATAGTATTTTGCTAGAAGTGTTAAGTAAAATCTCAGTTGGCCAAAATTACCATTTCCTACAAAAAATGTGAATATAGCCATTTACTACTATTTTAGGCAAAACACAGAGAGAAAATTAAATATCACATAAAAAGATATTGCTTTTGCAATAGATTTGCCAATAATACACATACACACATTATATGATATATATATAAAACAATATTCATACATCTTCCAATAGATTTATGTAATTTCTGTAAAAGAATGGTACATATTTATAATGGGCAGAAAATATACAAAAGTAATTCTTCAATGATGGTGATAACAGAGTTTCATATAGTGTCAAAAATGTTTTAAATAAATCATTAATCACTGTGAACTATTACATACTTTACCTGAAAAATAAGCATAGGCATTTCCTAATGGTCAGGGTGGAACCTAGAAAAATTTTGAATTAATTCATTTATTCTTTAGTAAGACAAGGGCAAAATTAAGGTAGAAGTTAACTTCTCCCAAATTATTTTTTCTCTATGTTAATAGAAATCTCCACCAATTCACACAATCTGTTCTTTTGACAGATATGACAAAAACTTATACATTTTATTCTTAACCTTTCCATTTAGAACTTTAGTAATGCTGTATGACCATCTCCTTTCCAAAGAATTGTCAATACTTACTTTTAGAAATTAAACAGCAATTTTTTCTGAGAACTTTGTAAATCATGTTACAAAAGTTCCCAGACTATGATATGAATTCCTATGCTGTGTCATAAAACCAACCCTTAATCTTCACATACTTCTATTTAATAGGATAGATGTTATTTTTAATGAAAACTTTTAAACAACAGACTTAATATTTCCATTATCTCTTTCTCTGAGGAATCAATTTTCATCAACTTTTCTTGTGAATTTCTTTTTAACTGTTGAGACTTTTTCTTAGGAGCATCTTAATCTAAATATGGCAGTACAATTATGATGTTTTGAATAGCATGTAAAGAAAAAAAACAAAGAAAAATGATAAATCTCTTCATAATGTTTAGTTAAACAAAGTCCATATAGTTGTTTCAAATTATTTTTAAAAACTATAATAAATAAAGGTTTAGGGGTAGTAAAAATATTTTAGCTTATTTTAAAATAAATAATTTTATCATCAGTATACAAAATTCAATTTCTTACCTCTAAAGAATCTGAAGATGAGTGGATTCCACTCACAACTGCTTCCATTTGTATGGCTTTAAAAAAAACACTTAAAAATGTTTTTGCATCACATGTTTATACTCTTCCATACAAAAACATGGAGGCCACCAAAAAAAGTATACATTAGAAAAACTTTTATAAATGCTTCAATATTAAATTTATTGATACATCATAAGATGAATACAAGTTACCTTTCACCTCTACAAGAGTTGCTCAAAGTGGTGGCCATATATTCCAGACATTTATTAGTATGACAAACTGCTGAAGTAGTGTGTATACATATTTTGGCAGACTCTATATTATGTCTATGTTTAAATTCAAAAAAACAGGAATATACTTTTTACAATGTCAGTTCAAGAGCAACATTATCATTTCTCAATTTATGGTAAAGATGGAAGAAGATAACTTTTAGGATCACGCTACCTGCTGGGGTGAGTGGCAGTACTGGAGATTGAACCAAGGGAACTTGCACTGAGCTATATCTCCAGCCCTTTATTTCTATATAATCTATGTAATAGATATTAACTATTTGTCAGCCCAATTATTTAAATACAGGATGACAAAAAAATCCTAATTTTAAAATATTTTAGAAGATAACAGGAAATATAAAAATAATTTTATTGAATTTATTTAATACAAGAATCAACTGGTTGAAATGACACCTGACCAAGCAATGTTCTAGACAATCAGTATATGAACAAACATGCTGCTCCAGTGACACTCAGGGTAAACTATTAAGTGGTTCATAGCCTGCCACTCATAAGTATTTAAGGTGTAGCCTAATCTGTATTATATATATTTAAAAAAGAGTAGAGAAGTATTACTTCTGATTACTCTGTCCTCCTACAAATAGCAAAACAGGTATAGAGATGGGGATGTCAACGACAAAATTTAGAATCACTCCTTTCCCCTTAGTCTTTTATTTCAGCAAACTCGTTTCTGATAAATGGAATAGAGGAATGAGTTGTGTATTCTTATAAGACCAAAAGGAATATACACATATAACAAGTACAGTATATACGAAAGTATGCATATTTACATATATGTGTGCATATTGTTTTCTAGGCATACATAGATAGCTACACATATGATTTAGTCACCATTCCTTTTCTGAGCAGTGTATTATTTTTAAAATGTTATTCATTGTTTTTTAAATTATTTTTTAAAAATTAGTTGAGATGTCACAAAATATATTTGTACACATTTGTCAGATCAGTTACAAAAAGTAGTGGAAGCCAAAACATCATTCTTTCTTGAACGATATGGTACCTTATTCTACATCCAGGTTCTATCCTGTGTTCCATTTCTAAAATGCCTAATTCCCTCAGTGTGACATCTTCTACCTAAAAATCCAGGTAAAGGAGAGTTTAATTTGTAGACTTCTCTTGGAAGAGCTGACACATACAGTAGTTCATGTTGTTTATTAAATAAGAGTACCTAGGAAAAGGGGCAAGTGAAGGCTGAGATTTTAGATTAAAAAGGTGAATAAGTCCCCCTTTCCCTTTTCATGGTACTGAAAATTGAAACCAGCTGGAGCTTGCAAACTTGCTGCCTCAGCCTTCCAAAGCACTGGGATTATAGGTGTGGGCCACCACACCAAACTGCAAATTTCTTACTACTGTTAATAAGGTAGGATTGTCTCCTTGTCTTACATCCTGGCAGACTCCTCAATTACTTAAGCAGCAGAATATGGTAGAAATGATTCTGTTCCAATTTACTGGCCCAAACATGAAAAAACTGTCAGAACTTTTTGCTTGTAAACATTTGCTCTTGGGAATCCAGTCATCATCACAAGGGATAGCCAATATGGACAGGAGCTGAAACCCCAGGCAAAAGCCCTAGTTGACCTCCTAGCCAACAGCCAACATCAATTTCCCAGTCTGGTGCATGTACATAAGCCAATAATGTACAACTGACATTGCACGGAAAAGACTTAAGGAGGCTTCCCAAGCCCTTCCTGATTCCATTTGTGAAACAAAATAGGTGATCAAAATTTCCACTTCAGTACCTATCACATAAATTAGACTCCAAACTCTACCAGACCACTCACAATCCTTAATAATGTAGCCCTGCTTAGTTTTCCATACTTCTCTCCTACTTTCTACTCATTAGTTGAATCTCCCTTTCTAAATAGATTTGATTTATTGAACACAAAAGAGTAATTCTTCCTCCCGTACACATACTGTACACTCTACCTGAGCTGCTCTCTCCCTTATCTCTGGCTACCCCCTCAGGTAAGTAGAGGTCGAGGTGAGGTAATTTGGCATTTCAGGAATGGAACACAGGATAGACTGGATGTAGAATGAGCTATGTTGCCCCCAAAGCCTTCCCAACAAGTCTACTTCCTAATTGTCCCAAGTTGAGAACAACTATCATGATGTTTAAGAGCAAGCTAGGGATAAGAATAAACTGTTCAGGCACCAAATCCTGGCTCTGCCACTTCACTAGCCACAAAGCTTTGAGCAAGCAAATTAACTCAGTTCCCTCCTAAAATTACTGGCACTTCTACGACTAAAGTTATTTAATAAGAAATATATAAAGTTCTGAGAAAAGGACTTGACACATAGTAAGAACTCAGTAAACAAAAGACATCACTTCTATCCCTGTTAGGATAGTTATAATGTCCAGTATATAAAAAAGAATACAAATTTTGTCTTGTTCCTAGATCCACAGGAAATCATAGTCTAATGGTAGTGGGCTCACATCTGAAAAAAATTAACTGTCTACAATGGATAAATACTGTAACAAGACAAATGAGAGACCAATTATTCAGGGCCACTTTCCATGGGAATGGCTGGGGAGGGGAGAGAGGCTACGACAGTAGTTTGAGGGCAGGATATTAAGTCCCCTGCCTGCTCCCAGCAGGTGTGTAGCACGCAGGTTGAGAGCACAGGCTTTCCTGGCTGGACCTGCAGCCCTCGAAAGACTTCACTCCCAGAAAGTTCTGGCTGAGCAATTCACCCTGCATTTCCAGGAAAATGCTTCATAAAAGAAAG